AAACCTATCATATTATATGTTTTTTGGGTCGCTCAAACCGAATCTGCAACTCATTTGGTCCCATCACATCAGAGTTTTTTTCTAACCTCAAAAAATAGCTGAAAATGGTAGAATTCAACAAAATCAACCCTGCAACATGTTAAAACCTTATAATTCCACATCATTATGGTCCCGAACGAGCTCGACAAGCCGTAAAATAATAACTCGCAACCGTAAAAATACATAACCTCAAAATTGGATGAGCCCAAAACCCTAAAACCCAAAATAAGCAGCGTTACAATTCCATTAAAGGAGCCTATATCTCGATTAGGTGAGTCGAAACAATTAGCTTTAAAGCGATTCGAGGCGCTAGAGGCCAAATTTCGAAAAAATACTAAATTTCGCGAGTTGTACGCAGTTTTATGTCAGAATACGACAATTTAGAACATATGACAAGGAGTATAGTCTTCATCAAACAACCAAATTAGTGTTGGGACTATTCGAATGCAAATTACAAAACTATTCGATTCTGCCAAGGTCTCGAATGCATTCGATTCTGTTGAAAGTATTCGAATACTTTGCCAGCGCGGCGTGCGTTTATACCACATACCTTATGTGGTTCATACTCACCGAATGCAAACGGCACTGGACAAATTCGAATTCGATACCTTTCTGAAGCAGCTGGCTAATGCAAAAGAAACTCGAACACTCGCACTGTATTCGAATTGAATGTTTAATAATGAATGATCAGAGAAATTTGAATTACCTACCTACGTATTATTAGTCCAATTAACTAAGCCTTTAAATCGAAATTTTGCCAACTTGGCTGAATTTTTGATATGAGTTAGTTTAAGGTATATTATAACAATAAGTGAGAGTAATTTTTTGTTCAACCCCCGGCCAAGGGTGGAAAAAGATAAAACAAAGGGCTTTTTCAAGATAACTCAAAAAGGGTAAGAGCTAGAAAAAAAAGTTTTTCATGAAAGTTGTAAAGCAGACAATTCTACATAAAAATGGTCTCTTAGCTTTTTCTTGTACTATTAAAATTAACAGAGTTAGGGAGGCTAGAAGTTAAGGGAAGATTTCAGAAATTTAATTTTGTTAAATCATTAAAATTAACGATTAAAAATTTGATTTTTTGTTATAACTTTCTTATTAAAAATTAAAAAATATATCTATTTCTCTGAAAAGAAAAGTTACATATTTTAGAGCAGATTGAAAAAAAAAATTACAAAATTCAATCATTTTTCTGTTTGTTATGATTTTTTTTAAATTTCTGAAATCTTCCCTTAACTTCTAGCCTCCCTAACTCTGTTAATTGTAATAGTACAAGAAAAAGTTAAGAGGCCATTTTTATGTAGAATTGTCTGCTTTACAACTTTCATGAAAAACTTTTTTTTCTAGCTCTTACCCTTTTTAAGTTATCTTGAAAAAGCCCTTTGTTTTATCTTTTTCCACCCTTGGCCGGGGATTGAACAAAAAATTACTCTCACTTATTGTTATAATATACCTTAAACTAACTCATATAAAAAATTCAGCCAATTTGACAAAATTTCGATTTAAAGGCTTAGTTAATTGGACTATTATTAGAAGTGTTCACCTAGAAGTCTCGAATTAAATAAATTAATGAATAGAATAAAGCCAATCATAGTAGCTTAGGTTACATGGAAGCTAATTTTTATTCTCTTTGAAATAAAAATGGGTTTGTGTAATAAACAAAAATCACTACCAGTAAAATAAAAAATATTTTAATAAAAATGTAAATGAAGTTACATAATAATGTAATAACAGGTGCAATCATAAAAAAGAAGTACATATTTACCTACTTAAATGTAAATATATATGTTGCGTCCGTGACTTAGCGGTTAGCTTTTTAAAAAAACTTTATTTATCGCAACAAATAATTTGTTTATTTCACTGCCTTTTTATAATTTGGGAGTTATTACTTTACTTTGAACTTTGATTTTTAAGTTTAATTTCTATTTTAATGACACAGAGTTGTGTGGCAACGCGACAACGAACTAAGGTGTTTTTGCTTTGTTACCAGGGCTTTTTATAAGTTCGTTTAGTCTTAAGTCAGCAAAAGCTGATGAGGTGCAATTAAGTTTCCTAGAAGTCCTTGGTAACTTGACAATATTCCTTTGTTCTAGAGCTTATCTTTATACAATACAATGTTGCATTATAGTTTGAAATAATTCTAAGTCCGAAATGAATACAGTTGAATTTTCATATAACAAACATATAAATTTAATGCATTTAACTACGTAATTGTAGAGTTATATAAAAATTTTGTTTATATTTATAAATAAAACTAATATCAATCAATCAATTATAAAATTTTGGATTTATATTGTTGCAAAGATGTATTGCTGAATATTGAACCTTTAGTATTTATTTCATAGTTAATAGTCAGGCATAAAACCTGTCTTCACACTAGAGAGAGAGAGAGAACTGCTTAAATATTAAATATAAAAATAAGCAAAATCCTTAAAATTTTTATGTAAATTTTATGTAACCCGTTGTCCAAAAAATAAGGTGAATTTGTTTAAAAAACAAAAAATCTTTATGCTTCCAAATCAATTTCCCCACCCAATATAATGCCAACTTATACCAACGTTTTTTCCAACTCTCGAAACAGTTCGAAAAGTCCTTTTCCAGTATGGTTTTCAATGCTTCTGTCGATTCGGCTTTTATTTCCTCGATCGAGTCCAAACGGTATCCACCGAGTGGTCTTTTGAGTGTAGGGAATAGCCAGAAGTCACTTGGTGCTAAATCAGGAGAATACGGTGATTGCGGAACGATATCAGTTGAATTTTTGGCCAAATGGTCTTGAAATCTTGATGATGTGTGAGCCGGTGCATTAACATGATGCAAAAACCAAGAGTTGTCTGTCCATAATTCCGGCCTTTTGCGGCGAATAGCATCACGGAAATGAGACATAAGACTCAAATAATATTCCTTGTTAACAGTTTGGTCGGTTGGAAGAAATTCATAATGCACTATGCACGATATTCACTCGATTAATCAACTGTTTTCGGGTCGTAAGCGTAGATCCAAGTCTCGTCTCCAGTAATTATGCGTTTCACGACGTCTGGGTAGTCAGAAATGATTGTTTCACAGATGACCCTGTTTTTCCAAAAAGTTGATAATCCGGGCTTATTAGACCAAACACATGCTTGTTTCAAAAATCGGGCCTAACTCGAATATTATTAGCTTAAAATTAAGTAAAAAATACAAAGAATAGAAGCCTAAATTTATGTATTTGTAGAGGTCGACCGCCATATTGTTTATAACAAAAGAAAAAAAATAATTGCTCTTTTTTGAGTTTTTCGCTTATATCTCCGAAAATAAGCCTCTAATCGGGATGAGGTATACTTATCGATTTTGTTCCTGAGGAAATTTGCTATAGGGAGTGGCTTTTGCAAAAGCTCGCCATTTTTTTACATTGCAGAATTAGCGGTGAAAAAAAAATGTGCAAGCAAGTTTATTACAAAATATTAAATAGAACAGCCAAAATACCGTTTAAAAAAATCATCGACCCTAGTTACCATTTTTTTTTGTTTTTTTTTTGTTAATAACTTTTTTATTTTGCAACTTAAAAATCTGAAATTTACACACACGCGAGATATTCGATCCTTTTTTACCGAATTTCGATATCTTGACTTGGGCAGAAGATATACGCGCTCGCGTTTTCGACTTTATAATTTTGCAATAGGCCGCCATTTTGATGGGGGCCCGGATTGTGGGTATTGGTTGAGCAACCCAGCAGTTATCTTTTCCTGTAGTTTCATCCAATTCCAGTCAAATTTGCTCTTTTTATTTAATTCTGAAAATTTTCCACATTTTTTTTCACCGCTAATTTTGCAATTTAAAAAAAAAAATTGCGAGCTTTCGCAAAAGCGTTTGCTTGTAGCAAATTTCCTTAGGAACAAAATCGGTAAGTAAACCTTATGTCGATTAGAAGCTTATTTTCGGAAATATGTGTGAAAAACTGAAAAAAGAGCAATTATTTTGTTTAGGCTTTTATTCTGTGTATTTTTTACTTAATTTTAAGCCCATAAAATTCGAGTTAGGTCCGATTTAAAAAAAACTAATTCACCCTGCCTATGAGGGGTTTTGGTATCAAACGAGATTTGACGCGTCTAAGGCACAACAAATCTTTTAAAATGATATTTACCGAATCTTTTGAAATGCCAACAGTGTCAACAAGGTCTCTTATTGTTAATCGACTGTTTTCGGGCACAAGATCTTCGATTTGATTAACGTGTTGTTCATCAGTTGACGTTGACGGTCGTCAAGGATGCTGTTCATTCTTAAAGCTTTCTCTGCCTTCTTTAAAGTCTTTGTGCAACTTGTAAACATTTTTTTTTTCGACATAATCTCATCACTAAAGGCTTTCTGTAACAACATTAACGTTTCCGCGGCAGAATATTCATTCCGCAAACAAAATTTTATGCAAATTCTTAACAAAATCGGACATAGTGAAAATCGATAAATTCACTCTCGTATGTTTACAAAAACACGAGTATCTCTGCAGCAATTGAAAAACTCTGCCTAGATATCAAGGACCGTACTACCAACCAACAAAAAAATAATTGTAATTCCATAATACTCGCAAATTTTAAATAAGTAATTTACCTTATTTTTTGGACACAGTTTTTTTATACAGAGGAATAAACATACATTGACTAGAATTTCTCAAAACATGCAGTCATATGCATTTTTGTGATTAATATGCCGCATACACTTGCCCTATACCAAAACGCACAGTTACCCCGTACCTAAAGCACACACTTTTAAACACATCTTTTTACTAAGTGGCAAAGAAAAAATGCAGCACTTGTTTATTTTTATTTACAAACAGTTTAAGTAAATACATGGAAAATGTAAAAATATTTCCATTAATTCTTAATATTTACAGTACAACTACCGCTTTGCTGATCTTGTTATTTCAGTTAATAAAGAAATTTAAGGAAATATTTTTTACATTTTATCATTTTAATGCAACTCCTTATTAAACTTTAATTCTTTCAGGAATTTTACCAGAAGCTTTGAGAACCAACTGTCACAGATGTACCGAAAAACAAAAGACGGTGACACTTCGAGCCATCAGACGATTGAAGAAAGAGTACCCCAAAGTATGGGCCCAGCTGGAAAAACAGTGGGACCCTGACAGCAGCTACATATCCAAATTCGAATCGACTTTCGGTGGCAAACCGGTCGAATCCAGTCCAACGCCATCCGTCCAAATTGTGAACAGATTCGCCTCAACAGAGAACGATAACAAGACCGTTCAGAATACCATAAGTCAGCTTTTCACTACGCCATTGCCCACGTCTACAAGCACCAGGACAAGTACCAGTAGCACTACCACTGCTACTACTGGTACAACTACTAGTACAACTACTAGTACAACTACTAGGACAACCACTAGGACAACTACTCCTACCACAAAGACCACAACCACTAAACCTACTACAGTTAGTACCAAAGCCACACCCGTAACAAAAGCCACTATTGATGATTTTGGCACGATAAGTACCATCAAACTAAACATTAACACAATTTCAGCATCTGCTAAACCTAAAAAGCGCCCTAGACCAAATATAGGACAAAGTATACAAGCTACGGTGAGTTTAGGGACTAACATTGTGGGGGACTTGGTAAGGGGTTTGGGAGCTATTGGGAACAGGGTGGTTGAAACAGGAGCGGAAATCGCAGGCGTGGTCCTGAAAAACATCGCAAGGCCACTTTGAGCTTTCGCTAGTTTCATCCAAGCTACTAACCCATCTATCCATGGAAATGGAAAACAAATATCTGNAATTTAATGTCTCTATTAAATGTTTCCTCATCGATGTGTAATTTTTGGATTGTGGCGTTAAAGTTTTTAATTACGGATGTTGTTACTGAAATTTGATTTTTTAATAAGTTTTCTAGTTGATGTTCATCACTAGTTAGTTTATTTATGCAATTAGCGTAATACTCGCCATCTTCTGCATCTAAATTTCCAGTGAGCGATTTAAATATTGTACCTATACCATTTATGAGTCCACGTTTGTAACGTTTAGTATCAAAGTTAATTTCTTCGAATTTTTCAAGAATTGATTTTGAAATTTGAGTTAACAAGCTAATGTGTGTTTTGACTTCGCTTTTAAATAGATTCATATTTTCAAAAGTTGGATTAATTGCTTGTAATAAGATATTTAAAATCTTTTCATTATGTTCGTATGCAATTTTTAATGATGATATATTTTTGTGAACTAGAAGAGTCCATTTTTTTATTTGTAACGAAGATTTCGCTATTTTGGTGGTAATATACTCCTATTGTGTTATTTATTGGTGTTATTGTGTACTGTGAGACTGCTGCTCCGATCAGCAAAAGAAACCTGAAAATAAATTTAATTTTCAAAATATGGTTTCATTCTGTCAAAATTTACTTTAGTTTTTTGTGATGTTACTGGGTTTATTAAAATTGCGGAATTTTGAAAAATTTCTTTAATTTCAAATGGTCCCTTAAATTTATTTTGTAGTTTATCTTTAATTTGAGATTCTTTTACATAAACTTTATCTCCTACTTTATAATTGGGGGTTTTATTTGAGATATGTTGGTCAAATCTTACTTTAGCCTTTTCTTTTTGAACATTTGTTTTTTTCTCTTGCAAGTTTATAGTAATACGATATTCTATTGTTTAAGTCTCGCATGTATTTAGAGATGAGTTCTTTCTGATTGTAAAGCGTTTCAGGAGGACGACTTGAGGTATGTCCAAAAATTAATTCGTAAGGGGTGAAGCCATGAGTTTTGCTTACTGAGTTGTTGTGACAAATTACAGCATAGGGTATAATTGTTAGAGGGTGTTCAATAGGGTTTTCTGTTTTGTTCGCCCGTATCATTTCTAGTAGTGTTGCGTGGAACCTTTCTAGTGATCCGTTAGATTGCGGGTGGCTAACACTAGAAAATGTCAGTTTGATGTCGTATAATGTATATAAGTCTCTGAGTAGTTGGTTGTCAAATTCTTTGTCTGAGTCGCAATGTATTCGAAGGGGTGTACCGTAATGTTGAAAGTATAGTAGTAAAGTATTTACTGTTGATTTGGCGGATTTATCTTGCTTGTGTAAATTTTGTTAATTCATCCCTAATTGTTAAAATATAGTTCTAAGTTGGTATTTCTAAAGTGTCGATGTTTATTCTCTCAGAGGGTGTTTTGGGTGTTTCGGTTATTACTAAGGGATTGCTTAAATTTTTGCGTAATACTTTTGTTTTTCGACAAGTTTCACAATTTCGTATGTATTTTTCAACGCGTCTTTAGTTAATCCTTGCCAATTGTATTTGTCTCTGATTCTTCGAATAGTTTCATTTATTCCACGATGTAAGTTTGCTTTTCCCGAGTGATTCTGATCTATGATAATAGGTATTTGATCTTTATCAGGTGTTTGAACTAAGTTTTGACAAATTGTTAATTTTAATTCTTTATCAGAAAATATAAAAGATAACATTTCAAGAATTGGTAGGTCTAAGTTGTTTTCGACAAAATAGGTTTTTAAACTATCTAACACATGTTTGTCTTTAAAGAATGTAATGAAGAGTGACTCTATTATTTCATCTGAGTTTGTTGGTAAAAGAATGATGTAATATTTCCGGTTTTTTACTGTTTTACTAGCGACAGTATTAATTTTATTAACAGAAAATTCTGGATGTTCTTCAAATATGTCTTCAATTATTTGGTAGTGTAAATCTTTGAGATTTTCTTTTTGAAAGAAAGTTATTATGTCTTTGTGTTTTTTGTCTAACAGTTGTTCGTTAGTGAATTCGATTCTGGAATAATCTATTAAAGATGTAGTTTTATATAAGTTAACAAATGTATTTAATTCTTCAACAATTGTTTCTGGTGCGACTTCTGTTGTGTCTGAATGTATGGATTCATTGTCTGAATTTGATGTTAAAATTTTTGTTTGAAATTTTGAACAATTTTGGAAATGGTTAATTTTTATTCTGGATAGAGCATCAGCGTTTTTATTTATTTTACCTGGTTTGTACTCGATTTCGTATTCGTACTCTTCAAGTTTCAAGCGCCAACGTGCTAAACGACTACCTGGGTCTTTTATTGAAAATAGCCAAGTTAATGGTCTGTGGTCAGTTATTAGCTTAAATTTCCTACCGTAAAGATAAGGTCGAAAATGTTTCACTGCCCAAACGATGGCAAGAAGCTCTCGTTCGATAGTAGAGTATTTAGTTTCTGCATGACATAATGTTCTGGAGGCGTATGCTATAGGAAGATCTTTTCCAATGGGGCCTTGAGATAGAACAGCGCCTATTGCGTATGCACTTGCGTCTGTTGTTAAAATAAATGTTTCTTCAAAATTTGGATAAATTAAAATAGGGGTTGAAGTTAAGGATTGTTTAAGTTGTTCAAAAGCTTTTATACATTCATCATTAAAATGAAATTTTGTATCTTTTTGTAATAATTTTGTTAAGGGTTTTGACAATTTTGCGAAATTTGGAATAAAACGTCTATAGTATCCGGCAAGTCCTAAGAATGACTTTATATCTTTTTGATTTTTTGGTTGCGGGAAATTTATAACACATTGTATTTTTTCAGGGTTTGGTTTTACACCTTCAGGAGTTACAAGATGACCTAAATATGCAACTTCCTTTCTTAAGAATTCACATTTGTCGGGTTGAATTTTTAAATTTGCGTCTCTTAATCTTTTAAAAATTTCTGTTAAGCGTTCAACATGTTCGTGAATTGTTGGTGAATAAATAATTATATCGTCCATGTAAACTAGACATCTTTCATTTTGTATGCCTAAGAGAATATTGTCCATAACGCGTTGAAATGTGGATGGTGCATTTTTTAAACCAAAGGGCATGCGCACAAATTCAAAATGTCCATTTTCTACTGAAAATGCTGTTTTTGAAATGTCTTTTGGATCGATTTCAATTTGATGGAACCCGGAGGCGAGGTCTAATGTGGTAAAATATTCGCATTTGCCTAATTGATCTAGCAAGTCAGAAATATTTGGGAGAGGATATTTATCTCCTACAGTTACTTCGTTTAATTTTCTGTAATCTACGACTACGCGCCATTTTTGTTTACCAGAGGCATCCAATTTTTTTGGGACAACCCAAACAGGTGATGACCAGGGTGAGTTTGAAGGTCGAATGATTCCCTGTGTCAGCATTTTTGTCATTTGATTTTTCACTTCCTCTTTGTGGATGTGAGGGTACCGATAAGACTTTGTAAATATGGGTTTTGTGTTACCAGTGTCAATGGAATGCTTTATCTCATTTGTAAATATTAAATTGTCTCCCTCTAGATAAAATATATCTGAGAACTTTAAACGTACTTCTGTAATTACATCTTTTTCTTCGTCGTTTAAATGATCTAACCGAAGTTGATTTTGAATTTCTAAATTTCTGTCGATTATTGTTTCATTTAATTCGTCATCATTGAAATTGTTTAAAGAAAAATTTTGAATGGGTTCAAGATTAAAATTTTGAAAATCTACAGTTTTTGAAATCGCGTTTGCATTTATTACGGATGTTAAAAATTCTCCTTTTTCGTTAATTTTTACAATAGCGTTAGGTAAACGTACCTTTTCTATTTCTTGACTGGATAATACAGCGTCAGTGTTTGTTAAATTACAGGAAAATTTAAAAATTTGCCCTGTGCGGGGGTCAATTGAAATTTTGTTTGTTTGAATTTGTTTCGGTAAAATTTCAGGATCGGTTTGTAAATTTTCAGTGACTTTAAATAAGGGGATAGTTTTGAAATTTGTTACTAATTGTTTGTTTTTGATGTCGATGATGCAATCATAATGTTCTAAAAAATCTGAGCCTAATAGTCCGTCAAATTCTATGTCAAGATTATAAATGTATACTTTGTGTGGGTCTCCTAATGCAAAGGGAATAAGAGTCGATTCGTTTAGGAAAATTTGTTGTTCGGTGATACCTTGAATTGCTACAGTTTCTTGAATGCGTTGGGGATATTTTTGACAAGTTTTTGGTTTGAAAATTGAAATTCCTGCTCCAGACTCAATTAGTAATTTGAAAGTGTTAGTGGCGTATTTTATATAACATACATTTTTTGAGTTAACTGTTAATAACGGATTTTTATTGACAGTTTCTTTGTTTACAGAAATGTTTGCTCTTGGCTGTTGTACTGAGTTTTGTTTAAATTCATAGTTTGGAATTGGGTTTGGATTTCTGATGTTGGATCCGGGGGATCTTGAATGTTGGGTTTTAACTGAAAATCCTGATTCATGTCGTTATAATCAAATTGATGAGCAGTATCATCAACATATTCCTGATAGTACTCGTTTTCATTAAGATGAGCGGTATCATCTTCATAGTTTTCTTGATGGTATTCGTTTTGATAAAGAGTATTATCGTTTTGATAAACAGTATTATCATTATAGGTTTCGTTAATAAGGTGTGTCCTTTGTTGGCTAAAATTTGGGTTTCGTTGAATTACTGTGGGTCTTTGTTGATTAAAATTTGGATTTGGTCTCATTGTTAGTTGTCTAATTTGGGGATTGTTTTGTTGAGGGTTTGTTTGTGGTCTTGGATGGACGGCTGAATTTTGATTTTGTTGAAAATATGGTCTTGGATGGGATGCTGAATTTTGATTTTGTTGAAAATGTGGTCTTATCATGTTTTGATTTGAAAACCGTGGGTTTGCGAAGTTTGGATTTTGAAAGTTTGGACTTCGGAAATTTTGAAAATTTGGGGTGAATCTAGTTTGTTGTTTTATGCGGCATTCATTTATTAAATGACCTTGTCTCTTGCAAAATGTACACGTTTTTTGAGCGTTTACTTGCGGTTTTTTCATTTGATTTGCGATATTAGGTTTGTGTAATTTTTGAGATTCAAAATATGACAATTGCAATTTCCTTTTTATCCTGGATATTGCTTGTAACATATCTTGTGGATTACTAGCACGAATGATAGAACCTAATTTTGGATCTAAACCCGTGAGTAAAGTGTTTAAAGTCATTGTTTCAATTAAGTTGGATTGCGCTAATTTTTGATCTGCGGTTAATTGTTGTTTCTGAATCGCGGCATGCATTTTTGCATTATGGGTTTGTAATCTGGAAACAAAATTTAAAGCTGATTCGTTTTGATTTTGTGAAATTCCCTGTAAGTCTTGTACTAACGAGGTCAAGTCTCTAGAATCTCCAAAATGTGTCTCTAAAAGAATTTTGATTTCTTCCCATGTATTTGGGTTTCTTGAATTTACAATTTCGGCTGCTTTACCTCTAAGTTTGTTTTTAACATGTAGAGTTAGTAGAATGCGCTGATTGTCGACTGCCATGTCGTATGCACATCTAACTGAATTTAAGAAAGTTTGCAAGAAAATCTGATTTCCATCATATTCAGGAACTATCGAAAATATTTCGGACAGTTTGTATGGTTCAATTACTTGTTCGTCTGCCATTTTTGTTTTATTCGGTTTGAATGGATTAAATTAAAAAACCACAAAAATCAAATGATATGTTGAAAGAAATGATGGGGACTAATGAAAAGACTTACAGCAGACGTGAGAGATATTAAGATAGAGCAACAGGCCCAAGGGGAAGCTACTAAAGCTTTGAGAGAAGAAATGCAAACAGTGAAAGAGTAGATAAACTTGAAAGTGAGAAAAGAAGGAAAAATATAATTGTGCAGGGACTAACGGCGGATGCTGGAGATAGCAGCTTGCTAAAAGAGACAATGAGGAAGCTTATTGAAGAGGAGTTAGGAGTAAAAATACTGATAAAAGCAGCGCATAGATTGAGTGCGAAAACATGTCTAGTGGAATTTGACAGTGAAGATAACAAACTGGAAGTGATGCGGAATAAAAGTAAGCTGAAGAATAGGCCAGGCGACAGAATATTTATCAATGATGACATGACAAAGGAAGAAAGGGTTATTCAGAAGAAAATTAGGCAGAAAGCAAATGAAGAAAAGACTAGGGGAAAAAATGTTAAAACAGGGTTTCTGAAATTAGTGGTAGATGGAGAAATTTGGAAATGGAATAAGCGTGAGGATATGCTAGAAAAATTTGGAAGTACAGCAAGTGGTATAAAAAACTAGAAAATGTGACTGTCGACGGTGATATGGACCCGACCCGGCAACAACAAGGACATAGACTAGAATTAAGGGGATTTAGTGTTAAGAAGAAAATAAGAAAGAGACGAAATAAGATTAGGATAGGTACATGGAATGTTAGAGATACATTTACGGAAGGCGCTCTGAAACATTTATGTGGGGAAATGAGAAGATATAATGTAGATATTCTGGCATTACAGGAAACTAAGCAAAAGGGCAAAACGATCACAGAAGTGGAAGACCATACATTTTTTAATAGTGGAATTGAGAATAGGAGATTAGGGGTAGGATTTATAGTTAATAACAGATTTAAAAATGAAGTCATTGAGTTTGAGGGGGTCTCAGATAGAATGTGTAGAATAAGAATCAAAGGCCAATTTAGAAAGATTAATATAATAAATGTGCATGCACCATCTGAAGAAAATGACCTGGAAATTAAAGTAAAGTTTTATGAGGATTTGGATAGAATCTTGGGAAGGCTTCCAAGGTTTCATGTCAAATATGTAATTGGTGATATGAATACTAAAGTGGGAAGGGAGGAGGAATACAGAGAAGTAACGGGAGGTAAAAGTAGACATGCAATTAGTAATGATAGAATTCGTGTTAGAGAATAATATGAAAATTGTCAGCACCGCCTTTGACCACAAAAATATACATAATGAAACGTGAATAGCACCAAATGGCGAGACAAGGAACCAAATTGATCATGTCCTTATAGAGAGAAAACATGCTAAGGACGTTACTAATGTGAGAAGTTATAGGGGAGCAGACAGTGACACTGATCACATATTAGTTATAACAGAAATGAGACAGGAACGACCTATTGAGAAAAAATATGTGAAAAGGGGAGAGCGGGTGAGATATGATGTAGCAAAACTAAAAGACATGACAACAGCAGTGCATTTTAAGCGAGAAATGGCAAGAGAATTGGCAACGAAACTCCATAAGGAGCAGATAGAACAAGAATGGGCACAGATTGAGACTGTTATGGAGGAGGTGGTAAGAAAGAGATTGGGAAAGTGTAAAAGGAAACAAACAAATAAATGGTTTGATGAAGAATGTAAGCAAATGTTGAGACGGAGAAATAAAACACGGCTGAGGTTACTAGAGGAAATGAGCGAAAACAACAAACGGAGGTACGAGCGCGCACGTAGGGAAGCCAAGGCGATTTGCAGCAGGAAAAAGAAGGAACATCTAGAGCAGGAACTAAAGGAAATAGAAGAATTGTATGTTAGTAAGGAAATGAGGAATTTTTATCAGGAAGTTAAAAAAGTAAAAACAACAGCGCCAGACAACCCCAGTATTTGAAAACTCATAATGGCTCCCTGGTTGGAGATACGGAAGGGAATTTGCAAAGATTTGCCCAGTATTTCTCAGAAATACTAAATGAAAATGGGGAGGAATACTGTTCGAGAGAAAATGAGATGGATTTGCCAAATGACGGTGAAATTGTAAGTGTACCCACAAAGGAAGAAGTAGAAGATTGTACTAAACGGTTAAAAAATAACAAGAGTGCGGGAGAAAATAATATAATGGCAGAAATTTTAAAGCATATAGGGGAAATACTGGTAGTAAGAGTATGGGAGCTGATAAAAAAAATCTGGGAAGAAGAGAAGATGCCAGAGAAGTGGAATAAAGCGCTAATAATACCCATTCACAAAAAAGGAGCTAAGAAGGAATGTAATAATTATCGAGGGATTGCGCTACAAGATGTAACATACAAAGTGGTAGCGAGAATAATTAAAAACCGATTGGAAAAATACCATAATGAACAAGTGGGGGAATACCAAGGAGGGTTTAGGGCAGGAAGATCAACGACCGATCAAATATTCATCATGAAGCAGATCCAACAGAATTCTTATGAGCAGAATTCGAGTTTACATTTGCTGTTTGTTGACTATCGGCAAGCCTACGACTCCATTAGTAGAAAGACACATCACATTCAATGAGGCAGTTAGGAGTCCCAGAGAAGTTATTGAAGTTGGTGGGGATGACTATTAGAAGAACAGAAAATAAAGTTACAGTGAATGGGGCAGTATCTGAGGAGTTCAGTGTAATGAAAGGTTTGAGACAAGGAGACCCACTGTCCACAGCCTTGTTTAATTTAGTGCAGGAAGTGATTTTGAGAGAAAGTGGTATAAATATGAGAGGGCTTATATATGGCAGCCGACACCAGTGTTTAGCTTATGCCGATGACATTGTGCTGATGGCGAGATCCGAAGAAGTAACAAGGGTTTTTAAGTTGTTGGAAGCAAAAGCAAGAGAATATGGCTTAGCAATCAATGAAAATAAAACAAAATATATGGTGATGAAAAACAATACCAGAGGACTTCCAGCAAATTTAAATATTAGCTGCACTGCAAATAGGAGATATACGATAGAGAGAGTAGAACAAGTTGAATATCTAGGAGTAACGCTAACGTGTAAGGGCGATGAAAAAAAGGAAATAGAAAAAAGGTTAGCGACAAGAAGTAAGGCTGCGGGAATGTTTTCAAGATTTTTAAAAGCACATAATATAACAAGAGCAACGAAAGTACAGGTGTACCAAACAATATTAAGGCCTACAGTTACTTATGCATGCGAGACGTGGACAATGAGAAAGAAAGAGGAAAGCAAGTTAGAAGTGTGGGAACGAAAAATACTAAGGACAATTTTTGGAGGAATTAAAGTCCAAAACGAATTCAGGAGAAGAACAAATAAAGAAATAGAGGAGCTGTATAAAAACCCAAACATTGTTCAGGTGGTCAAAATGTAAAGAACTAGATGGTTGGGGCACATAGCGAGGATGTCCGGCGAAAGGTGGGTTAAAAGAATACTGATACAAGGTGAAGGAGGAAAGAGAAGTAGAGGGCGACCAAGAAAAAGATGGCTGGAGGAAGTGACAAAAGACGTGAAGGATGTAGGTGTCAGGGATTGGAAGGAAGAGGCGCTGGATCGAAAAAGATGGGAAAGAAGAGTGAAAGATCTCATAGCCAAGGGCCGTTAGGCCTGTAGAGCTGATATTATTATATTATGGAGATCAAATCCATCAGAAGACATTCTCCCGTACACCTTGAACACGGTCACATATGGAACCAGTTCAGCACCTTTTCTTGCGATTCGTTGTCTCGTGGAGCTTGCAAATGAACACGAATCTACTCATTCAAAAGATTCTGAGGTGAACTGATTTCTATGTCGATGATTTATTGTCAGGGGGAAATACCCCTCAAGAGGTAATCAAGTTAGGTTCTGAAATATCTAGCATTCTAAAAAAAGGGTGTTTTAACTTACACAAATGGGTATCAAATGATGAAACCGTTCTCTCTCGAGGTTTTTGAAACTGATACTCCGCTAACTAACGTTATGGCACTAGGTGAAAGGAAACAAACAAAAACATTGGATTTATATTGGGTTTTCAAAGTAGACATTCTCAAGTACAATATTCACCCAGTATCTGAAACGGGGGATCATTACCAAACGAAGCATCCTTTCGGATATAGCACATATATTTGATCCGTTAGGTCTCCTTATACTCCTTATCTCCTGGACTTATAAGCTATCATGGGATGACAAATTACCTTCTGAATTTCAATGTAAATGGTCAAGATTTCGAAATAAGCTTTTTAGCCTAAACCAGTTAGAAATTCCAAGACAGTGGTATGTACTGCACCAGTTGAAATCCAACTCCATGGATTTGCCGATGCAGCTCAAACCGCCTATGGCGCGTGTCTGTATTTGAGAAGCGTTGATTCCAGCGGTGTTGTATATACATCATTGTTATGTGCGAAATCCAAGGTTGCACCAGTAAAGTTAGTTACTATTCCAAGACTTGAATTATGTGCTGCGTTAGTACTTAGCCAGTTAATAACTAAGGTCAAATCTTCCATGAATTTGAATTTTGATAAAGTCGTACTATAATTCGACTATAACATTACATTGGATAAAAATGTCACCTAACCTTCTTCAGACTTTTGTTGCTAATCGAGTAACTCAAATCCAAAATATGACTAACTCTTGTATGTGAAAGCATGTTCGCTCTGCTGACAATCCAGCGGACTTGTTATCTCGCGGTATAGACCCTAACCAATTGTGTGACTCAAGCCTTTGGTGGCATGGGCCATATTTAAAATGAAAATGAAACATTGTGGCCAAATTCATGTCCAACTCCTGATGACAATACTTTAGAGTTGAAAAAAGACATCGTGTGCAGTCACGCAACAGGTTGAGTGTTTTCCATTCCAGCGATTTTCAAAATTTAAGCGTTTACAGAGAACTATGGCATATTGCTTACGCTTTTCACACAACTCCAGGTATTCACATAATCGAAAAACTGGTTTTCTATCAACAACAGAACTAGATGATGCAGTAAGTCGTTTAGTTAAATTATCACAAAGGGAAAGTTTCCCTAATGACACAAACTTTGAAGGCAAATTCTACTGTTAATGTTAAATCGAATCTCTTACGATTAAATCCATTTATAGATCATTCAGGAATACTAAGGGTAGGAGGACGACTTCAAATGACTAATTTTACTTATGAGAAAATGCATCCAATTTTATTGTCCGGTAAGCATTCATTAACCAAACTATTTTTTTCCCATGATCATATTAGTCTACTACATGCTAGTTCTCAGCTACTATTTTCTACGATACGAGAAAGCTATAGGTGGTCAAAGAGTAGCAAAACAGATTATACATCAGTGTATTCGATGTTTTAGGGTAAGGCCAACTCAGACGGCTCCGTTAATGGGCGTTTTGCCCAACTCTCGTGTTCAGCAAAAACCGGCATTTCATACTGTAGGGGTAGATTATGCAGGGCCTCTAGTGATCAAAGATAAGAAAGGACGTGGATGTAAGTCTCTTAAATCGTGCATTTGTCTATTCATCTGTGTTACTACCCGAGGGATCCATCTTTAATTAGTCTTGGATTTAACCACAGAGTGCTTTATTGGAGCATTTCGTAGATTCACGTCACGGCGTGGCAAATCCCATACGGTGTACTCTGATAATGGAACCAACTTCGTTGGAGCGGCATCCGAGTTAGCTAATTTTCTAAAAATTCATAATGAATCTCTGACAGAGTCTTTCGCCACGGAAGGCACTGACTGGAAATTTATTCCAGCATACAGTCCTCATTTTGGAGGGTATTGGGAAGCGGGGGTTAAGTCAACCAAACACCACCTTCGAATAATCTTATCAAATAGTCTGTTAACCTTTGAAGAAATGTACACAACTTTAACGCAAATAGAGGCTGTGCTCAATTCCAGACCTCTAACACCGATCTCCCATCCCAATGACTATGATGTGTTAACTCCAGCGCACTTCCTTATCGGTCAAATAATTACCACTCTACCTGATCCTAACCTGAAAGAGATTCCTGAAAATCGTTTGTCAAAATTCCAACGTGCTCAGCAGCTGCAACAACATTTTTGGACCCGTTGGTAGAAGGAATATATTGCGGAATTACAACAGCGTGTAAAATGGACCAAAGGAAGGGGCCAACTGCAAGAAGGTGCCATGGTGATAATCAAGGATGACAAACTTCCACCCCTTTGTTGGCGTCTATACTCGGCGGCCGAAATTATAAAGAGTGACTAATACATAATATAAAAACACTATTACCATAATGTGTATAAAATATAAAATGATTTCTATACGGTTCAATATTATTTATCTTTGTGCCGCTCGCCATGCACATCGGTAGAATCTATAATCGTGTATAGACTGAGTTACACTGAACGTCGATCTATATTTTATCTCTGTCTTTTGCACTTGGTAGGGAATAGGGAAATGCTTTTTTAGTGGGTGTAAACGGACTTGATTTGCCCGACCTGAGAAACGTCATAGCATAAGCGTAGACGAGGGGTCTAATTCCATGGCTATAATAAATTTATACATTAAAAAAACACAACTGGGACGTTTTAAAATGCTGTAATAATTAAAATT